GATCAGAGGACCTCTCAGGTGTGAAGGGCACTTGGAGCAGTTGGAGGGCTGTGTAGAAGAGTCACAAAGGCATCTGGGTACAGGCATTATGGATCAGCTCTGGGCTGAGGCTGATCAAGGGTGAGGGCTGGCTGCCTCCTCCACTTCCCTGACTAGTGCTCTGGACACCTCAGAGGACCTCACGGGGACTGCTACAGCCCTCAAAGCCTTACCTGTCTTTTGGTCCTTGCCCCTTGCCTCCTCTTAGAACCAAGCCTTGGGAGCAGCAGCTGGCAGTGCCCTCTGCATTGTTGGCTCTTTCCCAGCTCTGCTGCTTCTCTGGGGCTGCATTTTGCCTGGGGTGGGGGCCAGGCAGGGGCTCCTTGAGGTCCGGAGGAGTAGCCAGCCTGAGGGTCTGCTGCTGGCCACCCTATGTGCTCACTACACTGGGCTGGGCAGTCCCCTGGCCTCCCTGTGTACCAGTCGCACAGTGGGTAAGAGGGTCAGACAGAGACTGACAGCTCCCTGAGGCCTGAGATTCTGGGGCTCACAGGCATCCAAGGACAAAGTGTTGCTGACCCAAGCCCCCCACCCCCTCCCTGCACTGGTGGGCAGGGCCGGTCACTGGCAAGAGCCAGGGCAAGAAGCAGGAGTGGAGCTGGAACCTGGGACTCATCTCTGAAGGTCTTGGCTCCCCTGCCTGCAGTCCTGCTCCATCTGAACCCAGAGCCAGGCTGTCCTGTGAAGCTGCAAGATGACCCTGGGCCAAAGGCCTGGGTACTAGCACCATGCAGGCTCTGAGAACACCTGAGTATCATTATTCTTCTTCTCCTCTTCCTCCTCTTCTTCCTCCTCTCCTCCTCCTCCTCCTCCTTCTTCTTCTTCTTCTTTGTCTTCTTCTTCCTCTTCTTCTTCTCCTTCTCTTTCTCCTTCTCCTTCTCCTTCTTCGATACAGGGTCTTGATGTGTAGTTCAGGCTGGTTTTGAACTCACCATGTAGTCCAGGCTGGCCACAAATTCACAGTGACCCTCCTGCCTCAGCCTCCCAACTTCTGGGATTACAGGCATGGGCCAATTTGCCTGGCTTGGCTTCAAGCTTCTTCAGTTGAGCAGCTACCGGATCCTCTGGATTTCTAGGGCACAGGTGGCCCTTGTGGACTCTCCTGCGTCTGATCCTGTAAGCCTACCTAATAAATTACCTGGAAAAAAAATATATATATTTTCCCCCCATGGAGTCCTCTAGAGAACCCTAACCAATACACAGAGGCACAGAGAAGTTAATAACTTGCCCAAGGACACGCAGATACTAAGTGACAAAGCCAGGACTAGAACTGGACTCTTGGACTCTAGCACATTCTTTCCTGACCAAATGCCAGTGAGGCTGGGGGACATGGTCTCAAATGACCTCCGAGTCCTGACCCAAGGAACACAGCTCATAGGCTGTGGAGATGCTCACTAGTGGCCCTGTGAGGGAAGGCAGGGCCAGATCTTTAGCTTTCTAAAAAGCAGGAGCCAGGGCTGAGCAAAAGCCTCTACCAAAACTCCCCTGGGAAGAGGGCCTCCCTCAGGGAGGCCCTTAGGGGCCAGAATCTGACATGGTCAGAGCTGGAGGCCTATCACCACCCACCTGTCCACTGTGCACAACCAGAGACAGCCAGGTGATGGGCCCAAGGTTCCACAGTGGAAGACAGAGTCTCTGTTAGGCTGAACACTGGACACTGTGACAGCCTTGGATGTGCATGGGGGCTGGTGACTCCCCAAGGAGGACAGTTGTCAGCAGTGAGGGGATTTTCCCCCACAGTCCCAGAGGCTAGTGTCCCAGGTGGATTCCATTCCACTGCTGCCCCAGGCACTTCTCCATAGATGGAGCTGTTCTGGGGGTGGACACATGGAAAGAAATCAATTCTGTTAATCAAGAGAATGCATCAGGAAGGGTTATGAACAGTAATCAGAAGACTCACGTCCAAGGTGGGCTGTGCCTCTTAGTGTGGGCCACGCCTCTTAGTGTGGGCCACCCTTGAGCACACCTTTCCTTTCCTTCGATCACCTTCTTTTCCTCTGTACAAAGGAGCAGAGTCCTTGTTGCTGGAAGAATGGATCTGACTATCCCAAGGGCCAGTGGGAGGGTGGGGGTGAAGGATGGGGTAGGGTAATGGTTCACTGACCTCCTCCCCCTCAGGGAAGAGGTCAAGCCAGCAACCACTGGGTGGCTTTGTCCAGTGTTTGCCCCCTGTGGTAGTTTAGGGTGGGGTGTCTACTTGATTGGGCTTAGGATCCATCCAGGGGTGAGTGGAGCACACTTCTGGGTGTCTGGATGGGTCACAGAGGTGTGGCCTTTGGGGTCCATGTCTGGTCCTTAGTCCCTTCCTCTTGGTTGCTATTCTCCTGCTCTGCTTCCAGGCCACCATCAACTAAACATCTTGGCTCTGCTGTGCCCTTCTTCCTCAGAGCCAGCCAACCATGCACTGAAGCCCCCCAAACTGTGAGCCAAACTGAACCATTTCCTTTAAATTATGTGTGTCAAGTATTTGGTTCCAGTGAGAGGAAAGCTGACTAATACATTCTTTCTGCATCTTGACCTCCTTGCTTATACTGTGGTCAACTGTGACAGTTACGATGACATTAGCACTGTACCCGCCCCATCCTGATTGTCCATGAAGGAAAATGCTTTGAGACAGGTGGGGGATGAGGAAAGGACCTAACAAAGAACAACACATTGGCTCAGACGAGTGCAGTACCCAGCTCCCCCTGGAGTGGTCTCCTACCCATCTGGGCCACACAAGTGTGCTTTGTTAAATACAACCACTTCCCAGATGCTGAGATGACACATGAAACCCAGGTCTTGGCAAAGGGTCACTGGAAAAGGTTCTCTGGCTTCATCCAACCCTTTCCTCAAGGCTGCTGTGAATCCCACCCATGCAGCCCCCCAAAGCAGAGCACTGCTGGCCAGAGCTACCTCCCTTGGATGGGAGATCCTGGAGAAGGGCTTCTAGCCTATCTGGAATGCACATCACAGGTCATGCAACTCCCTCCTGTTCCCCCAAATCACTGCAGGTGACACCACAATGGGAAAAGCTTCTGGCTGTGGAGGCAGGGACCTTCCTATTGGCTGTGTGGCCTTGGAATAATTGACTGACTTCTCTGAGCTTGTATCTATAAAGTGAGGAAATAATATCTTCCTCCCAGCCCTATTATCAATACTAAGAGTGATACTTGCAAAGAAAGTTTGTTAAATGATGCTAAAAATGATACCGATGAATGATAAGTATCATTTTGTTATGCTTATTTAAAAAATTAATTTTTTGTCTGCAGAGTTCAAACTGGATCTCATAGCTGATAGCTCTGTTTCTGTGCTCTCCCCACATTAGCCTGCTTCTGGCACTGGACTTGGGTTTGAATTTGGCATAACCTGATCTGGTTTCAAGTCCTGGCTTTCCGCCCTTGTGTGAGTTTGGATGAGTGATTTTTGCCTTTTGAAAACACAAAGATAAGAACAGTGTCGCCTCTCTTGTGAGTTTTTGATAGAATTTGCAAGGACTGATGCAAAGAGAACCCTCAGGGCAGTGCCTGGCACTTAGCTCAGCACCCCCTGGGTGGTTTTGACCCTGTCATTCTTAGCCAGAGGCTCCTCGTGTACAAAGCGAATGCCTGCTGTGACCTTGGCATCCTTACAACCACACAGTGAATGTCACAGGACAGAGAAGAGTCCTGGAGTTCTGAGGTCTGGGCCTGTGGCTCAGGAACTGGGCCTGTGGTCTCAGGCACATCACTTCCCATTGGTGCCTCAGTTTCTCCATCTGAAAACAGTCATGATAATTTCAGCCCTGCCTTTGGAGTCAAAAGACTTGAATAGGAATCCTGATTCCACCACTTATTCGGAGTGGCCTCGAGCAACTTCAGTTTCCCTGGTTTCTTCATCTTTACCTGTAAGAAGGGGGTTAATGGTAGACTAGATGACAGTGGAATGTTAAGGGTAAAAAGGAGAGTATAAAATTGTGATCAGTGTGATTCTGGTTACATTTTTTAAAAATGTATCTAACTTTTCAAAAAGATAAAGAAAACTTACTAAACCATTCCCAGTAGTACTCTCTGGATTATGGGCTCGTGGGTGACTTTTTTTTTTCCCTTTCTCTTAATATTACTTCTGTTCCTGTAATGAGTGTGTGCCTCTTATCAGAACTTAGCAATTAAAGACATAGATAATAGTTGTCTTCAATGCATAGGGTTATCTGAGGGTGGCCTGTGCCTTTGGACACAATGATCTGACCCCTGAGCAGACCAGGGTGGGCTGACTGCTTCCCCTGACTTCCTGGGATGTGGCCTGGTGGCACCAGGAGGCCCCTTAGAGCTGGCCTCTGGCTGGGGGCAGAAGGACCCTTTCCCTGAAAGGCCTCCTGTGAAGATGGGACCACATTTCAACTGAGGACCTTTCCCCAAGGAAGCAAGGAAACTAGGAGAGGAAGTAAGGAAACTGGAAGCAAAGCCTTGGCTTTGCTTGAGGAGGTGTCTGGCCTTGGTTTCCCGCTCTGTAAGAGAGGATTTTGAGTGTCTGCCTCACTGGGGGATTGTGAGGACCCCCAGAAGCAGTGCCTTTGCCTATGACTTGCCTCCTGCACCCTTGAGTCCCAGCCATGAGAGATGAGAAGCCAGCTTCAGATGCATTCTGTGTCCTGGGCCCAGCCCTTATTTCTGCTTTTCTCTTTACCCTTTGGCCACCAGATCTTGCCTGCCATCAAGATGCTCCCATGTCTGAGGCCACTCTCTCCCCCACATCTCCATCCTCTGGATTTTGAAATATTTCAGGCTGAGTTTAAATGATGTCTCTTCCACTAAGCCTTCCCAGGTTCACGTGGTGGATTCTGTGCTTTCTCTGAGACTCTTATACTTTTGGTCATAATAATCTGCTACTGTGCCTATTTCCCGACTGAATGAAAAAAGCAGGGTGCATGTCTTACTGTCACCCCCAGTGACCAGCATAGTAGATGACATGTGCAGATCTCAACACATGTTTCATCCCATCAGGGTGACAGCTGTCCTGGACAGAACAATGGCTTGTCCCACACCCCTGCTGCAGCCCAGCACTCAGCAAGGATGGAGGAAGATGTCATGTGCTAGGGCACCAGTTCAGAAGCAGAAGCCACCTGGACTTGATGGACCAGACTTTCGCTTGTCAAGGGGAAGCACGTAAGTCCCCGTGACCACAGGCTGTCAGGACAGGAACAAGGCTGCCATTAGCAGCCTGGTGTTCATGAAGACTCCATTGTACACAGGAAGCTCAGTGCTCCAACTTGGTGGCTGGGCCTCCTGAAAACCCTCTGAGCTAGGCGGCCAGGGTGGGGCTGCCCTGACCTCAAATGAAGAAGCTGAGGCACAATGGGATGCCAGGCTGGACCTGGTTATTCTGATCTCCTAGGCCACAGTGCCACCTGGGCCCTTGCCTCCTTTGACCCCCTAGTTGCCGGGCTACTGACCCATTTGACCCATTTGATGGAAACCTGCAGGTGTGAGGAGTGTGGTCAATCACAGCTTCAGCAAGGGGAGAAGAGTCAGCAGTCAGGAAGACTGGAGAGGAGAGCTTGCATCCTGACCCGTGGTTCTCCCTGCCCACTTCTGGACCTTCTGCCTTTGGGGTCCAGGGGAAGGTCCTGCCATCCGGCCAGCAGCCACAGTCGAGCTGTCAGTCCTGCTTACCCTGTGCCAGCCTCGCCTACCTTGCATTCTGGGATCCAGTGTGATGCCCTGAGTGCCAATGGGAAGTCTCAGGGCCCCTGGGGAGGTGGGTGAGGGCTGCTGCAGGGAAAGGCTGCGTGAAGCCTCCAAGTTGAGGAGTCAAGCACAGGTCATCGACAAACCACCTCTGTGACAGGGCTGTCCCCAGACTCCCGTGGGGCACTTCCCTGGAGGGTCACAGAATGCTATGTGAGAGGCAGGTGGGGTGGGTCCCCCACTGTAGGAAGGAGAGGGCTGAGGCCCGGAGGGGATATTCCTCCCAGTACAGCAGCCTGTGATGCCACCTGCAAAACCGGTCCCCACCACCTCAAACTCAATGATGGCCTTTGCAGATGACCAACTCCCACAACCATATACTTCATGAAAACTTCAAAAGAGACTTAAGAAATTCTCTGGTTTCATATATTTAAAAGGACAACTTCTACCATGGTGGCTCAGCGGCCCTGATCAGTCAACAGAAAGAACTGAATACCTCAGTTTATCGCTGACATGGAATTCTGGGAAAGCACTGGGTTAGGCCTCCAGGCAGGGAAGTGGGTCCTGCCCGGCCTTCTCCACACTCCTTCTGGAGGCTTCTGGGAGCTTCCATTGACCTGGCACCACCTGGGCAGAGTGGTGGGGACCTTGGCTGGTCAGGCAGCAGCCAGGGAGGCAGGTGCACGCTGAAGAAACCGAGCCACCAGACCCAGGGTGGCAGGTGCCCCGGGCGCCAGCTCAGCTCGCCTGTGATGCTGAAGGCGAGCGAGGAGGGTGGGAGTGTGAGCTCCTGAATGCTTCCCTGTGGCCCTAGGCCTCACTTGGGCCAGGAGGCCCAGAATGAGAGATGTCTCTGGCTTTCTTGATATTTAAGGTCTTCAAATCCAGCACTCAACTCGATGCCCTTCCCCAGAAGCAATCCTCTAGATTTGCGTGTTCACCTCCAGCGACAGGACACTCACCCAGGCCTGGACAGGCTGAATTCAGGCTGACACCTCCCTCTTTCATCCCCCAGGCCTGGTCCTGAGGCCAGCAGGGAGAGAACAAGATGTTTCTTGGCAGCTCTCTGTGGGGGCCCTGCAGAGACCCTCCTATCCTGAGATCCTCTCTGCTCAGGCCTGAAGCTCTAGCTCACCATTTATATCTCAGGCCCAGTACAGTCTCTCCCCATTTTTTTTGTAGTACTTGGGGATTGAACCTGGAGGCTTTAAGCTACACCCCCAGACCCCCTTTTTATTGCCTGTTTTAATTTTGAGACAGGATCTCACTGAGTCACTAAGTTGCCCAGGCTGGGCCAGGAATTGCAATCCTCCTGCCTCAGCCTTTCAAAGTGCTGGGATTACAGGCATGTACCACCCTGCCTGGCTCAGCCTCTCCGCCCCAACATTCAGGCCTGAGTGGCTCGCTGGTGCCCCATGTTGTGTGGTCTGTGCTGAGGGGAGCAATTCTGCCTGCCCTCTTCTAAACCCTCTGCCCTTTTGGGCCAGCCCCAGGTCCTGCCATCCTGCCAGCAGCCACAGTCAAGCTGTCTGTCCTGTTCCTGGGATGTGGGCACAGGGGCAGGCTATCAGTCACCCTGCCAGCTCCCAGGCTGGACTGGTGCTCCCTCAGGAGGCCCTGCTGCTCTAAGAGCCGGTCTCCACGATGCACTTGAGGAACATGGTGTCATCCTTCACATAGGCGTGCTTGGGCGACTGCAGCTTGTTGAGGGGGAAGAAGAGCGGGCAGCCGCTGGCCACGTTGGTTTCACTCTGGGGCCGCTGGAAGGATGCTGAGCTCAGGTCAGGCCGGAAGGCATCAATGGCGTGCTCACGGTTGTTCTGGTCTAGCAGCATGAAGGTGACCTATAGGGCAGAGACAGGTGGGAGATCAGGTCCCAGGCAGCAGCATACAGGCTCAGAGGCCCAGTGTGCAGGCTTGGAGGGCTCCACAGCCCCTGAGATCAGAGGTACCTGCTACTCTGAGCAGGCTTCGTCTGAAGCTTCAGCAGGCTTCAGGCTCTGATTAGGACCAGCTGTCCTAGCCTGCAGGAAGGGCGGAGATTTTGATGCCATAGTCAAGCTTGACTTGAGGTTGGAGGATAAAGTATAGACAAGGAGGGGACTCAGTCACCTAAATGTGCCCTCTGGGTTCTACAGCTGGAACCTCCTGGGGGCAGGCATTGGGTGAGAATGGAAAGGCCTTCTCCTGAGCGGCTGTCACCCGATGCCCTGTTTATCACGCTCTGGCACACAGAGCAGATGCATGTACCCCTAAGAAGCTGATCATCTGACCATCCCTGGCACCTGTCCTGAAACCCCCATCAGGAACTGAAATTATTCCGTTTCCTACGGACACAGTTCTTAAATTTGGCTGAACTGAGGCTCCCCAGGGGAGGCTCAAAAACCTGGATGCCCTGGCCTGTTCTTTAAAAATGTCCCTAGGGGGCTGTATCTCAGTGGGATGGCATATACCTAGCATTCTCGAGGCCCTGTATTCCATCCCCACACCAGAAAACAAAATGTTCCCAGAACATATGGAACAGTTGCCTGCTGACTCCGACTCAGGCCCACCTGGCTTGCCCACCTGCCCATTTCCCACCCCAGCTGAAGCCTGCAGGCTTGACACCTCCCCCTCAGTCCATGCTGCTGTTACCTGCAGGGAAAGCCTAGCCTCTCCAACTCTCCTTTAAACTTTAATAGACTTTATCTTTTGGAGCAGTTTTAGGTTAACAGGAAAATTTACTAGGAAATACAGTTTCCTATATGACCCCTCTCTCCCTACATGCACAACCTCTCCCAGCATCAGCTTCCTGCACCAGAGTGGTGCCTTTATTACAGCTGATAAACTTACACTGATACATCATTGTCACTCAAATTCATGGTTACATTAGGGCTCACTCTTGGTGGTGTTCGTTGAGTTTTGATAAATGTATACGGACACATATTCACTATTAGAGCATCATACAGAAGAGTTTCACTGCCCTGTCAGTCTTCGGTGAGCCCTCTTCCTCCTTCCTTCTCTTCTACCCCCTGAAAACCACTGATCTTTCTACTGCCCTCATAGGTTTGCCTTTTTCATCAGAACATCACACAGTAGGACTCATATAGTATGATATACATCTTTTCAGACTGGCTTCTTTCACTTAGTAAAACTCAGTTTTGGTTCCTCCATGTCTTTCTGTGCCTGGATAGCTTGTTTCTTTTTATCACTTCAAAATACACAATTATGTGGATGTAGCAGTTTATCCATTCACCTATTAGAGGGCATCTTGATTAATTCAGATTTTGGCAGTTATGAATAAAGTTGCCATAAACACTCATGTGCAGGGTTTTTTCCCCTTTGGTGTGGGCATCCATTGTCAACTCTAGGTTAAATACAAGGAGTGTGACTGCCGGATCATATGTAAGAGTATGTTTAGTCTCGTGAGAAACCACTAAACTGTTTTCCCAAGTGGCTGTCCCATTCTCCATCCCACCGGTAGGAATGAGAGCTCTTTTTGCTCCTCATGCTTGTCGGCACACGGTGTGGTCCATGTTCTGGATTTTGGCCATTTTGAGAGGCCAGGGGCCAGGAGGGGATGGAGTGTAGAGGTATCTGTCTCCTTCCCCTTTCCCGAGGTCCTGCAGGTTCAGGCTGGCCTCGTGCCACCTCCCCCGGGAAGCTCTCCTGATTCACTTCACCTTGAGGATTCCACTTTGATAAGCCCTCCAGGAACGCTTTATTCCAGGGGTTTTAGCGCCTGGGCTCAGGGAGCACCTTGGCTGCTCTATCTGAACTCAGCTTCTTGTTATATAAAGGGGAACTGATAATGCAAGGGGGACTTGCCCAGTTTACACAGCCAGCTCATAAACCAGAACTAAAATCCAGGTTCCCATGGTCCCCTCACCGCCCCTGTCCCAGCCCATACCTTGTTCCGGAAAGGCCATGGCAGCAGAGCATCATACTCTCCTCTCATGATCACGATGAAAAGCGACAGGTGGGTCCTCTTGCCTGTGCCATCCCCATTCAGGTAGAGCCTCAGGCACAACTTGTAGCCATACTTGGCAGTGTAGAAAGCTGAAATGTGGGGCCAGGGTCAGTGCAGCCTGGATGAGGCTGGGGCAGCACTGACCATGCAGATGAGGAGGCTGGGATATACTGGTCATGCACGCCCAAGCTCAGTGGCTCACATCTGGGACAGCTGGGGCTGGAGCCCAGCCTTCCTTCTCTACATGACAGTATGGAAGAGGGGACAGGCTGCTGGAGATCACCTAGCCCAGTGGTTATCAACTGGCCTTCGGGATCACAGATGGGCCCCATTCACAGGGTTTCTGATTCATTGGTGGGAGGGGGGACTGAGAATCTACATTTCTAACAAGTTTAGAGGAGATGCCAATGCGGCAGGCCCAGGGACCACACTTTGAGAACTACCATTCTAACCAGCCTGCTTTTACAGTGTGGAAGCTGAGTAAGGGGAAGTGGCTGGTAAAGGTCCCCAGGTACAAATCACTGCTGATGACTAAGCACATGAACCTATGGAGATCTCTCCCTGGAAAGCTGAAAAGGTTGTCCTCTTGAGTGCAGGTTCTGACAACTGTCACATTCTGGTGACACTTCCCTGGGTGGGGATGGGGTGTAAGGCTTGGGCAGGAAAGGGGTGGAGGAAGAACATGTTGCCAGGCTGACTCATCTCTGCCCATTACGTGTTGGTAGAACAGGAAGCCAGAGGCACCTCTTGCTTTTCCCTCTTTGCAAAGATTCTGGGAGGAACAGTCTGTGGGTAGGAGGTGAGGACACCTCTGAAGAGGGTCATCGCCATAAGGGGACAACTTTGGGACCCTGAGGTGCTTTGGAGTCTGGGCAAACTCTACTGCCTCTCCATGATTCTGGCTCAGTTGGTCTTGGATTCAAAAGAGCAGCTTCAGAAGGGCTGAAGCCCAGGCAGGGCTGGCAGAACTCCACCTTCCTGCTCCCCATTCCCCTGCCCTGTTCACTTAGACACACGTGTGTGACACAAGGGGCAAGTACAGAAGGCTGCGTGAGCCCCTATTTATTGCACCTGGCTCCTGGGCAGCCTTGGGTGTGGACTCTGCCTTCTTGGGACTCAGTTTATTTAAATGGAGCCACAGCTCTGTGTGTGTGAAAGAATATTTTGTACACAAATTTATGCACTGTTATGTTAATAGATATCAGTTAAGAAAAATATGTTCCAAGTAGCTACTTTATGCAAGTCATTGTGCCAAGCCCAGGGGCCCAGAAATGAGTAAGAACTGCCCCGGTTTACACAATACACATCCATGGGCTACCCACAGTTGTACATAAGTGTGAAACTCTGACTCAGTCCTCTACCATCTAACCGAAGACTGCTAGCTCCCTGAGGACATGGGTCTCACATATTCCCCTGTGAAAACCATCACCTACGTCTCTCTCACCTGCACCCGCTTTGGCTCTGAAGTTTTCTCTTGCACCTGACAGCCTCACGAAGTAGATAACAATTTACCTTCCTATTTGTGGAGTAGAAAGGGCCTGCCTGGGGCCAAGACACCACTGTTGTATGTAGATTAGAGCCCGGGGTCAGCAGTTTACCCACTGTCCCCATGGTCCCAGTGCAGATCTGGGTCACAATGTGTGGCCCTGATGGACACTGGTCTGACTTGGACCTAGCACGCTGTCCCCCGCCTCCCCATGCCGGCTGTTCTCCCAGCTTGTTTTCTGGGCCTGGAGGGGCCTGCCTCCCCCAGCTGGTCTCTGTACCCCCTGAGGAGTTACCTGGGGAGAAGAGACTGACAGTCCGGCCACAAGCAGACTCATGGCACCTCCTGGTGACATTGGTGATCTTCCACACGAAGGTGCCATCGAAGGAGGCCTCCTCCATGAGGCGCAGACCCTGCTCCAGCTTTCCCAGTGCCTGGTCTTTCTGGGCCAGGGTCTGCTGCAACTCCATCACCTGCAAGGAATCAAATTCAGCCAGGGACACCAGAACCCAGCTTGGGGATGAGGTGGGATGGCGAGGTCTGGAGATCCATCTGCCTCCAAATGCTTTCCTGACCATACCTCACTTGGGTGCATGAGTCTGCGATTCCATGTGCTACCCTCTGCCTGGAGTTCTTTTTTCCTTCGCTATTGGCCAACTCCTATTCATTCATTATGAATCCAGCTCATACTGCCCTTCCTGTGGGAAGCCTTCAACCACTGTCTTAGCTCAGCTGGTCTGTGTTCCCACAGAGCCTTACAATGTATTTTTCTCTCTTTCCTACCAGTTGTCTTCCCTCACCATGCACTTGACCCATGCTCATTTCAGTTGTGTCCATACCTTGCCTGGTGTCTGGCCAGGAGATTTGTTGGTGGGCAAATGACACAGTTGTTGCCCTTGTGGAGCCTGGGAAAGTTATACAAATAAAGGCTTTACTTGGCCATCTGAACCCAGTGTCTGGTTCTTCTAGTAGGTTTTTCCAAGTGAGATTTGAAAGACTACAACTTTAGTCTTGGGTGTGCATAGGTAAGGGAAGTGAGGAAGGGAAATGAGTCTCCTTAAAGAAAATGTAAGCCCTAATTTTACCACTGGGGAAGCTGAGATCCTGAGAGAGAAAGTGACTTGCTCAGGTCGACTCAGCCAATCAAAGGGAAAGCTGGAACTAAAATAAAGGCCTAAATCAATATGATGTACTGTGGCTGGAAAAAAGCAACACTGGCATGGAGAGTGGCTACACCAGAAAAGTATAAGCTATGGCCTAAAGGACAGGTGTGTTGGATTAGTGGATTATCTGGAGTCAGCCTGCAAAACTACGGAACCCTTTAGAGACCATAGGCCAGAGTATACAGGGACAGCAAGCAACACCTGGCCTGAAGAAGATGCTAGGGAGTTGGTCTCAAGAAGGACTCAGGTAATCACCACCTCTCCAGTGCTGAAGGGTTGCCATGGAGATTTTGGCTTAGTTGAAGGAAGAACTTTCTCACAGTGAAAAATGGCCAGCAACGGAAAGGCTGTTTTGGGAGGGAGTGTCCTATCCCAGGAGAAGCTCAACCAAAGGAACTGAAGCACTGGGTGAGCCAAGGGGTTGACCTTTCTAGAGCTTCTGACCAAAGGTTCTTCTCGGAGGGCTTTGGGATCCAGGGGAGGTAGATTTAACTGGGGAGTGGTGAGCAGGATGAATGATTAGGAGGAAGGCCAGACTACTGCTATGGGGACAGGATAGGGCCACAGGGGCTCCTGAGCTGGCCTTGAGGGCAAACTTGCCTCTCCTGCTCACCCTCTGCTCCAAGCTCAGGATGCGCTCTTGGTCCAGTTGGCTCTGGTGGATGGAGGCGGCCAAGGCCAGGTGGGAGGCTTCCACCTCCTTGTTGAGGACAGCGACGATGTTCTCAAACACACGAAGCTTCTCCTCCAGCTCGGCCAGCAGCTTCTCCTTCATGAAGTGCTGCAGGGCCAGCTCCTCCTGGCTCTCGGAGCAGGGAGCTCGGTAGCAATCCACCTCCAGGTCCCCTGGCACCTCCACGGCTGCCTGCAGCTGCAGGTCTGACAGGTTCCGCTCCAGGGCTGTGGGCCCGGAACCTGTGCCTGAGCCCAGCTGGGCCTTCCACTGTTTCATGAACCCCAGCAGCAGGTTCAGGTGGGTGGCCTGGGAGGTGGCCTCATGCTCCTGTAGGGACTGGGGGCTGCCCTGCTGAGAGAGCAGAACCATCAGTGAGAAGAGAGGAGGTGGAGGACTGAGGAACAGTGGAGAGCACTGGCATTGAAGGGCACTGAGGGACGTCAGACCCTTTTTCCCAGCAGAGGGAAGTGGCTCTCTCCACAGTGGGAGGGACAGGAGGACCATGGCATCAGACATGCTCACCTGGAGCCACAGGAATCCCAACTTCCAGAGCAACAATCCTACCCTGCCCTTTGAGCTCAGTGGCGATTCAGGACCATGGAGAGTAGCACAAGGGTCCCTTGAATGACTAAACACCAAGGCTTAACTAAGAAGCTAAGAACTTCCTTGCCAGCACTCTGGGAGACTGAGGCAGGAAGATCACAAGTTTGAGCCCAGGCTGGGCAACTTAGTAACTTAGTGAGACCCTGCCTCAGAAAATTTAAAATATAGCTTGGGAAGTAGTACAGCGTGAAAGCCCTGAGTTCAATTTCCCAGTACCAGAAAACAAAAACAAAAACTTCCCTGAATACTATGATGACTTAATCGTGGGATTAATGGCTTGGAAAGTTGTTAGTACAAGGGACATCCAGAGGAGTAGCTTGATGTCATGGGAAGCTGCTGGATAGGAGAGACAAATGGTCTGGGACCGCAGTGGACAGACCCCTTTCCCCACACTTACCTTGAAGGAGCAGCCAACACCTGCAAAGGGGCACCCAACTCCAGCATCAGCCACCTCGGGGTGAACCTGGAAATAACAACCATGTCATTGGATGCTATGGGGATCTGTGTGGCCACCCCTAGGGTCTTCTGCAAAGCACTAAGATCCACCTGGCCAGGAGGGCACCCGGGCACATGACTTGGCACATGCTGTTCCCTCTGCCTGATAATGCCTTTCCACCCTTTCAGGCTGGGCTCTTTTGTGAACTTCCTTCAAAACAGGACCAGAGTCCCTGCTGTCATCCTGAACAGCACTGCTATTTCTGCCAGGACAGGTCCCACACAGCTCCCTGAGCAGAAAAGGAGACACACGAGTGACTAGTAAGTATACAAAATGATGCTCAATGTCACCAATCATCAGAGAAGTGCAAACTATAACCACAGGGAAATGCCACTATCCACTCACTAGAACAGCTAAAATGAAAAACAGGGGCAATGGGAATTCTCCTATATTGCTGGTGGGAATGCAAAATGGTACAGATGCTTTGGAAAACTCTTTAGAAGTATCTTATGAAGTTCAACCATGCTTCTACAATAACTTGCTTACCAACCATACTTATAAAGTTGCCATATAACCTACACATTTCACTCTCAGAAATGGACCCAGGAAAAGTGAAAACATATGTCCACAAAGACATGAAGATATGAATGTTCATAGCAGCTTTATTTATAACAGCCCCAGATGATAAGTAATCCATTGTAGCCAGTGGTGAGCAGATAAACAAATTGCATGCAGTATATCCATACTAGAGACCACCACAGTCAGCAGTGAAATGGAATTAAATATACAGAATTGCATGGACGAGCCTCCAGAACATTATGCTAAATGAAAGAAGCCAAACACAGGAGACTACATATGCTGATTCCATTCTGAGGCATTTCTAGAAAAGGCACAATGATAGTGACCCAAAGTAGATCAGCGGTTCCTGGTGCTGCAGGGGTGCGGCGGGTGGGGGGGGAGTGACTCAGCGAGGACACAAAGTAGCTTATTTTGGGGCAGAAGTGTTTGCCATCTTGACTGCAGTAGTGGTCACGTGATTATATGTAGTAACCAGAATTCATTAAGCTGTATGCTTACAATGAGCGAATGTCATTGCCTGAAAATGACAACTTGATTTTATGAGAGCTTTGTTATTTTGTTTTGAAAGAATGATCTGATGGGGGCAAAATGGGAGGGGATGTGGATAAAAGGAGGACAAAGGTCTCTTGGGCTGAACAAATACAAAGCCACACTGGTTATTCCACTCTATGAGTAAAAGGAGCAGAGGGCTGTGGGCTTCATGAGTACATTGGTTTGGGACACAGAGCACGGCTGGCCAAGGCCCACTGTGCCTCACCGCACTGCTCTGGGGACAAGTGCTCCCAACAAACAATGGGAAACAGATGTTTCATGGGGAGTGGGCTTTGAGAAGCCAGTGGTGATGGAGCCTGTCCTCATGGGTAGCTTTCGATGACATGTGGGAACAAGAGAGGCCTGATGGCAGGAGTGGATCTGGGTGCTCACACATGGACCTGAGAAACCTCTTGAGCCCTACAGCTCCCTAAATGCCCATGATTCAAATCCTCTGTGGTTCTAAGGGTGGAAGCTTGATGTGAGTCATCAGCGATAGAAGGTGAAAGGTCAAGCTGACAGTGGGATCCAGACATCACCCGCATGGGGGTGCATCCTCTGGTAGCAGGGCTTCCCAGTGTTATGTGATTGGTGACAGGTTGCTGCATGGATGTCCAGGTCCTACCAAATGGGATGTGTGTACAGGTGTGGGCTGCCGTGCTGATGGAGGAGGGACAGGGGTGACTCAGAGGCCTTCCAAGGCCTCGGTTGGCAGCCAGGCTGCCTGGCTTATCAGCAGTCCCTGACTCCTTAGAGTATGGAGGTTAGGGGTGTGGGTCCCAGAGCCAGTCTGTTGGGGTTCAGAGCCTCTTTCTGTCACTTCACATCCCAGAGAGGTGGCCCTGGGAGAATCATTAACTTCTCAGTCTTAGTTCCCCCATCTGCAAAATGAAGATAATAAGAATACCTACCCTCTTTGGGAGTAACTGTGGATATTAGAGGTAATGGAAATGCTAGTATTAGTTACCTATTGTTGTTGTAACAAAATACCATGCAGTTAATTGTTTAAAACAGTGGACACTTATTATCTTTCAGTTCTGGAGGCCAGAAGTCCTAACACCAAAGTCCTTGCATTTCCAGCTTCTAGTGGCTGCCTGCATTCTTTGGCTTGGGGTCCCTTCCTCCAGCTTCAAAGCCAGGAGCACAGCATCTTCCAATCTCTTGTTGACTCTCCTGTCTCCCTCTTATGAAGGCCTCTGTGCCTACATCCTGTTCACCTAGATAGTCCTGGGTTATCTTTCCATCTCAAGATCTTTCATTTAGTCACACTACAGAGTCTCTTTTGCCATTGTTATGGGTTGGATGTGCCCCCCTCCAAATTTATATGTTGAAGTTATAACCCCCAGGACCTCAGAATGTGGAGAAAAGGCCTTTAAAGAGCTCATTAAGTTAAATGAGGTCATTATGGGTGGGCCCTAACTGAATAGGACTGGTGTCTTTAGAAGAAGAAATATGGACATGGGAGACCAGATGATGACACAGAAAAAGAGGGCCATCTACTAACCCAAAAAAGAGGCCTGGGAATAAAGCAACCCCATCAATACCATGTTTCAGGAAGCAAACTTCTGTTGTTTGTAGCACCTAGTCTACAGCACTTGGTTGTGGCAGCCCTAGCAATCAAATACAGTCATTCAAGGTGATCTATTCACAGGTTCCAGGATCAGGATGCGGACATCTTTTTAGGGGACGACTTTGTCTAACACAGTGTTCAAGACATGTTAGCTGTGAGTAGTGAAATGACTGTTACCGGTATTATTCCTACAGATTAAGCACTACTGCTGCCTCCCCTGGGTCTGTCAATACATGTATCTCATTTAATCTTCACATCTCAAAACTCTTAACAACTAATCTGATACAATTTTGTTTTCTCATTGGATTTTTCTCTGACAGGCAAGGATCATCCCTGCTATGTAAGTCCCTAAAACATCTAATTACAGAGGACCAAAGCATTTTATTTTTTGAGACAGGGTCTCTCTATGTAGTTCATGCTGGCCCTGAACTCTATATAGCCCATGCTGGCCTCACATTCATGACGATCCTCCTGCCTCAGCCTCTTTAGTGCTGGGATTACAGGCATGCACCACACACCCAGTCACCAAAGCATTTTTGCATGTTACCTCAAAGGGTCCCTGTGACAATTCTTTGTGGCAGGCAGGGCTGGATTAGCTTCACCTTAATAGGGACAGGGACATTGAGATGATGGCTCGCTTGAGTTCACGCCAGTTTGCTCAGCCCTGTGTGGTCTATGGCCTGTCAGATCCTTCCAGCACCGTGAGGTTCTGCTTCAACAGGGAAAGGAAGCCAGGGCTTGGGGGGCAGGGGCTCATAGGAGGCAGCATGGCCAAGCGAGGCAGCCCAGGAGCCTGGAGCCCCTTCCAGAGTCCCTCCCCACCATGGAGTCCTCGGCTTGACCAAAGGGTGGCCTCCCTCCAAGGCTGGGGACCGATGGGACAGAAAGGGAATCAGGCCCGGCCGAGGAGAAAGAACCAGTGCTCTATCCTGGGCCAAATCTGGGGTACCTTCGGTGCCACAAGTAGCCCCTGTGTGAATGGTTGTACTGCTTGCAAGTTACTAAAAATAAAGTTGGCAGTGGAATTTCCTCTGAGGAAGAAACAGAAAAAGAGAAAACAGAGTCCCAGCCCTGTGGGAACACTCGCCCTCTGTCTAGGTCTGTGGGCCTCTGGGCGTGTGGTGTTCCCAATCACCCTGGCCACTCGGGCCCTTTGTGACAAGACCCCACTTAGGGACTTGGGGGCCTCCGAGAAGGCGAGTGTGGAGAGGTTGCCTGCGGACTGAGTGCAGCCTTTGTGCCACCACCGTGCAGAACAAGGAGCTGAGCGTTCCGGGGCTGCCCATCCTGCTGGGCTGGGCATGGAGACTGGCTCAGGTTTGGAGGCATGAGGGGCTGCACTCTAGTCACAGAGGGGACTTGGTCAGTCTGTGGCTGCCTGCCAGTTCCCATCCTGCTCTGTAACTCTGCCAGTTTCCCCTCTGCCTACCTCTGCTCAGCTCAGCTGCCACCTCCTCCAGGAAGCCCTGCCTGGTTCTCTGGTTGAAAGCTGTCCTGCACGTTCCTGTTTTCCCATCTCACTTATTGGATTCTGGCACTTAAGGATGACTGTGTTGTTTCAATATGCATATGACCTTTGGGGAGTAATCCCCCATTTGGAGCCAGTGCAGAGATGATGCCACCAGCCTAGGAGGCAGAAGCTGGGGCCTGGCTTTGCCTCTCACTTGCTACGTGATTTTGGTCCAGGCACCCATATCTCCTCTCTGGGCCTTGATATATATATATTACCTACTAATAAAATAGGAACACTACTACCACCCACCACATAGGATGCCACTGGACTGATGAGATTATAAGCTGCCAAAGTCAGAAGTGTAAGGGCTTGGAGGTTCACCTCAAGGTAACACACTGGAAGGGACACAGATAAACAGTAACACATTTGCCCCAGATGCATACAGACTGGGGACAGATGTAAGAGGGACATGGTTAGTGTCTTCCTCAGGATGGACCCTGGGAATGGAGGCTGACTTGCTCTTTGTTGGCCCACAAAGGAAACAGGCTTCAGCTCCATACAAATAAAGAAGAAACAGTTGCAATACTGAGTCCTCAGAACATGGAAGCAGCTATCCATGGAGTAATGAGCTCCCTCTCTTTAGAAGGACGGAAAGTCATGTGGCAGGAAGCAGGTACATGATTGGAAATAAGCAGGCACATGATTGGAATAAGCAGTTTAAGCTCCTGTCATTGTCAGCTTCTAGGAAAAGTTATGGCATTATTGGGAGCCACTGTATTAGATGGCAGCATGAGTGTGACCTTCTTAAAAGGGCCTCAGAGGGCAGAGAGTGAGAGAAACAATATCGTTTGCAGGCGTCTTGGCAAACAGACTTGTATGTTATTTTCCAGCCACTGGTTTGTCCCTTACTTCACTGTCACTTCTTCAGGAAGATCATTCCAGGCAAGAACCAAGGCTCTAACCAGGTCAACATTAATCCTCTAATATCTGCTTCTTACATTAGGTAACCTGTTTGTGGCTCTGTGCCCTTCTCAGGGAGATTGTAATCTAATGAAGTCAGAGCATGTGCACAAACTGATAAGCAGATGGCACAGAAAATGTCTGCGAGGATGGGTACCCCTGGGCTTGGCTCAGCAGGGCTCCAGCCCAGCCTGCTCTCTCCACCCTGCCTGTTTCCCAGGTTCTTTCAGGCACACAGACAAACTTAGGATTCTCACATGTGCAAAGTGTTGGCTGATTCTCAGCTGCTTTCCTCTGGTCGAAAGTCCCCCAAAGTTTCCATTAGGGGCAGGATGCAGAGTAGTCCTTAGTCTTTCCACTCTGTGGCTTTGTGCAGACCTGTTCACTGCCTGAGCACTGATGACTGCACTGGGTGGGAAACCAGCAGGGACGGGAGGGCCGGGCACCTTTCCAAGTCTGGCTGTGTCAAGGAGGTCTTGGCCCCCAAACCCAGGCGGCAGCTCCTCCTTCTCCATAGCCTGTTAGAGCACTGTAAGTCTACCACTTCTTCTGGCTTAAGGCAGCCAGTTTCAAACTGTGCGCTGTGGGGCTCGATGAGTACCCAGAGTCCTTCAGGGATGGGGACAAAAGAAAGAGCCAGGTAACTAAGAGGACGGGGCTCCGGGTCCCCCTTCCACTAGAACACTCTCACTTATATTGGATTTTGCTTTGACAAAGAGGGAAAACTTAAAGTCACCAGATTAAGAGGCTGAAATCTACCTTACTTGTATTATCTAACATTTCTATAATGAGTGGGTATTCACTTTGTTAAGAGGGAGGAATGAAACAAGTTCAAAACGGTACCCCTGGAGCACGCAATCAGGCCGGGCCTTAGAGAGCCCACAGAGTTAGGGGGTTGCTTCTGTGTTGTAACCAGACAAGAAGGTTCAGGGAGTTCTTCCACCTATCAGTGTATCATATTGACTCTTCCAAAATGTAGCATGTAAAGTTCCAGGAAAATGCACTTGGTCCTGGTTATTTTTCTCTGAGGGCCTGCTGGAGGAGGGGCTGCTGAGAAAAGGACAGGAAAGCCCTCCAAACTTTCCTGCATGGGCCAGGAAATTCCCCCAAACTTTCTGAATGACAAGGACCAGTGCACAGCAGGAAGAAGGAGGTGGCAGTGAAAGCAACCGTGGGCCCACTGACCTGTGACCTGGACATCACAGACCCTGGAAAGGCCCTGCAGAGTCAACTTAGTGGACTTACTGTGCAGCCACAAAATGGTTCCTGGAACCAGGTTCTTGATCTGTGGGCCACTGATGGTAAAGGAGAAACCGGCCAGGCATGTTTCTCACATGAGGGTGGTGAGGCTGGTTACTGCAGAGCTTTGGGACTGGGACTCCCCAGGGGCTCTTGGGCCTCCCATCTAAACGAGTAAATAAGGGTTAGATTTTAAGCAGTGATTCTGTATGTTTGGAGTCATGGACCCATACAAGTATTTTTTTTTTAATTGGGAAATTAACACAAAGATTGCCATCCTTTTGTTGTACCTAGTAAAGTCTTTATCAGAAATGATCATCTACTATCACATCATCACATTTATACAATGAAAAGGGACATGAGCTCAGAGTAAAGGCTGACTTTTTTTTTTTTTGCAGTACCTGGAATCGTTCTCTGGATCTTGCGTTTACCAGGCAGGTGCAGTGCCACTGAGCTACATCCCCAGCCCAAGGGTGACTCTTTAAATGGAAGAGTTTAACTTCATAAGAAACTTACTAGAGTTTCCATACTTTTTATTGTGGGGTTATGAACTGGTGGGAGTGGACCAGTTCTGGATGGCGTGTGCACAGATACTTGGCTGAGGGTCCTTTCTGCTTGGGAGGGCCAGAGTTCTGAGCTGTGGTACCTGAGGCTGTTTCTGTGGCTCCTTATACTTCCAAAGATGGCTCTTTTCCTAGAAGCATGGCCTGACAGGGATCTGACAATGGCCTCTGCCTACATCGGAAGTTGGCTAATTTTTTCAGTAAAGGGCCCTGGAGTAAATATTTTGGCCTTTGGTGTCTCTGTTGCAAGTATTTAACTCTGCCATTGTGGGGAGAAAACAGCCATAGACAATACATAACTGAATGGACATGGCTATGTACCAATAAAACTTTATTTATGGACACAGAAGTGTGCATTTCATGTAATTTTTATGTGTCCCCAAATAGCATTCTTCTTTTTTCCTCCAACCATTGACAAATACAAAAAAATATTCTTAGCTTGAGGGCCGTACAAAAATCCAGGTGGTGGGCTGGATTTGGCCCATGAATCACAGTTCATGGACCCCTGGTCCAGACGGTGGTTCTCACCCTTAATCTTTTACAGACCAGCTGGGTGGTTTGGGGCAAGGTGCTTTACCTCTGTGAACATTGGGCTCCTCACTGCTTGTAAGGTGAATTCAGTATAGACTCAAGGCAAAGGAGTGAGGCATCTACCGGGGCCTCCTGGGCCTGTTTGGCCTTAAGCTGGAACAATCAAGAGAATGGGTACATACTCTTTCCTGGCCATGCCAACATACCTTCTCCTGGGTCAGAAGGCTTCCTGGGCTTTCAGATTGGAGGGTGTCCCCTCTGCTTTTGGGACAGATCTGATCCTTGCTGTTCCTGGGAAAACATGAACAAATCCTGCTGAGTGAGGCACCACAACTCCCTGGCACCGTCCGTTCTCCTGGCAGCGCTAAAAACCTTGACCCTGCCCAGCATGGCTGCTGATACCAGTGATCATGCAAGTCCATCATTCCAAGCTGCAAAAGGACAGGAAATCTCATGTTTTTCTGCAGCCAAACCTGACCTCAACTGGTCCTCACTCGTCCCACTTAGTGTGAATGTTTATCTTTCACTGGAGAAACATTAAAGTGCTTGATTATAGGGTGCTGCCCTTGTCCCCGCTAGATGAATTATGTCATGTGCTGGCTTGCTTTTCTAAACCCTGAAAAATAAAAACAATTCCCAAACACATCTGGCCCCAGGGGTTTAGGCAAGGGATTATGGATATGTGATTATACTTGCTCTGTTTAGCACCCTCTATTTGGTTTTGGTCTATTATTTTATTTATTTATTTATTGGTACTGGGGATCGAACTTGGAACCTTGTGCTCTCGAGGCAGGCACCAGAACCACTGAGCTAAATCCCTGGCTCTGGCCTATTATTATCATTATTGATATTTTTATTATTATTTGGTATAGGCTGGGGATTGAACCCTGGGCCTTTGCACTGAGCTACATCCATAGCCCCTTTTTAAAATTTCGAGATAGGTGCCTGATAAATTGCCCAGACTGGGCTTGTACTTGTGATCCTCCTGCCTCAGCCTCCTAGAGAGCTAGAATTACAGGTGTGGAGTGCCATACTTGGCTACCACCTCTTGGTTTTGGTAACTACAGATGACCGTGGCCTATCAGAACAAGAAGGGGTCTCAGAGACCACCTCGCCTGAAGGCTCTTGGTCAGGAATGGGTGTCGGATTCTGTGGGGTGACACATGAGTGCTCATGTTTTCTCAAAGCTCCTGAGTGGTTCTGACCCACAGTGAGCACTACTGACCCAGCCCACTTCTCAGGGGAAGGGAATGGGGTGCTGGAGACCCATAGGTGGGCCACGCCACAGGTCCTTTAGGCCTCAGATCTGGCCCCTTTGTCTTCTGGTCAGCACCAGTCCCCTCCTCTGCCTGGAGAGGCCCGGAGAGTCACCCCCAAAGCCTGAGAAGACCCCCCCCCAGCAATCCGCGGGCTAGGAAAAGCAGTGAGGCTTTGGTTCCACCCCGCACCTGGCCTTTGCATCACCACGGACTCTCACCTCTTCCCACAGCCTGCCCTTTATCCCCATGTTGGACTTCTCACTTGCCTCATTCAGTTTTCTCACCTTCTTAAGCTACTAGGCCCCAAACCAAAGGTCATGTTGGTGGTGCATGGCCATTTAAGGGCATATTTGCCAGAAACTGGCCTCAGCAAGCTGACCTCATCCCTCCAGGAGGCCGCAGTGTCCTCATCTAAAATAGGACAGTAACATTACCCATCTCTCCAGGTTGTTCTGAGGACACAAGGCAAGGGGACAGAGCGGGTGCCTAATAGTTGCCAAAGGTGGGATGCTGATGTTACTACTGATGTCCCACTCTTCTGAGTCATTTATATTTTAAACATACATATAGGTGGCTGAGAATATAGCTCAGTGGTGGAGTACAAGGCCCTGGGTTCAATCCCTAGCACCCCCAAAACAACAACAAAAACCAAAGAGCAAAAAAACATCAATAAACAAGAAACATAAATATATATTTTATCTATATCTTTGTCCCTTCTAGGAAGGTTCCCAGCAACAGCATGAGATACATTTGTATAAATTTTATCAAGGGCATTTGTGTTCATTATTGTTAGAACGTTTTTGAATATTATATATTGGGCCTTGTAACAATTCTGTGAGGCAGAAAACAGCTGAACAGACAAGAGGGCACAGCCAGCAGCATTTGGACCAGGCCACCCTGTGGTCCCTCCCCGTTCCTTCTCCCTGCCCACTCTCCGCTCCTCACACCCTCACCTTAGGTTCTCGGGGCGGCAGGCTGTGCAGCAGAGGGCCCTGGGTCCTGGCAGGTCCTGGCAGGTGGTGGAGGGACACCCAAAGGGGAACTCGTTCTCATCGGGGGCCGGACGGGGGCTGCTGGCTGAGCTGGAGGCCATCCCAGGGTCTGAGGCTGGCCAGAGGACAGGCCCCACGGAGTATGTGGGGAGGGAGGAGGTGTGTTCCAGTCCAGGCTACCCTCTCTGGTGAGCAGGACTCTCTGGTGACTTTATCTTCTCTCTGGCTTGTGTGGTTCAACGTCACAGCTGAGTCACAGTGGGGATGGAACAGGAATTACCCTTTGTGGTTAAAAAAATCCCCTGGAAGGTGACTGAAGGCTTCAGGAGTGTCCAGTCATTTTTCAGAGTGAGAAAGAGCAAGGGAACGAGTCAGAGTAAAAGAACCACGTCACAGACTTTCAGAGACCACAGAGTTCCTCTTGTCTGAGAACTGCAGACTGTCTCGGACTTCTTCCACTTCCTCAGGGGCTCACCGGTGGAAAGGCCACAGCTGGCCACTTGTCTTGCCACCTGGGGCCTCTGAGCAGCAGAAATTCTCAGTGGGGGTGCTCACCTTCCCAGTAGAAACCTCCAGGGTTCTGGGGGCAGGTCCAAAAATTCAAGTTCTAGGTCCTTCAGCCCTGCCTTGTCCAGTGTGCCTGGGGGACCTCAGGTAACATCTTCTTCCAGTGGATCTTGGTTACCCAGCCTGTGGAAAAAAAAAAAAGAAAATGAGTTGCAATAGGTAGTCTCAGGCTCTATGATCCTGCGACCTTATGACCAAGGCCACCAGAGGCAGCAGGAAGCGTCTGAGGACCCAACCCTGCCTGTGGCGTTCTGCATAGATCATGCTGTGACAAATAGGCCCTCCCCTCCTTTGAAGTCTAAGGCTTTGCGACCTCAGACTCTGCAGAGCCCTCTCCCCACAGCCCTATTCAGGAAGCCACGGGTGGGTGGCTACGTGCTCAGGTTGGGCGCCACCACTTCCCTGCCCCGGGGGAGAACAAAGCGCTGAACAAATACCAGATCACTGGAAATGGTTTCAGTAGCCAAGTGGGTTGGAGCTCCATGTTTGCAGGAAAAGTGAACTGGAAACAATGGCTCCTGGCCAGTCTACTGTGCCCTTCCAATCCTTAGCACAACCTGTGGGGAATTCTGCAGCCATATGCAGCTCAGAGAAGCAAGATACATGGGCCAAAGTCACACAGCCTCAAACCAGGGCTGTGAGACTCCAAGTTCTGTGTTCTTCCACCACAGAAGAGATGAAAGTGAGGCAGGCTGATGGAGCCTTAGGTGGAGGTCAGAGCATCTGGCTTGTCTCAGCTATCAAATGGAAAACCACTGCTACAGGGTTTGCAAACTTTCATGGTGGTTTCAAATCATGGGTTGTGAGATCACACATCTGAGTAGGGGCCCTGGGTCCACTACGTACAAGCTATGGCTCCCAGGTCAAGGTCTTTAGCTGCTCTGAACCTCAATTTCTGCATCTGTAAAGTGAGGATAATAATATCTACTTCATCCAACTGTTGTGATGACCAAAAAAGATGGTGGGTGAGTGTGGCATGGCTCATGGCCCATGCTTGGCTCATGCTTGGAAGGCTTTGGCATTCTACTCAGGTCATGGCCACAGCCCCTCTCCTCCTGAAAACCAGGGAAAAGGATTAAAAAGGCAAATTCCACTAATATAATGTTTTCACAGCCATCAACCTCAGTCTCCCACCTGGGCAAGGCAGGTTGGGTGTCGCCATCTGATCCTAGATAAACTCAACTCCCCACCTTCGCTGGAACCGAAGAGCTACCAGGGGCTGTTGGCAAGAGGTCGCTGTGTCCCGTGGCTGCAGTTTGCATCAGGACTTCACCCTTCCCTGGGCCTGCCTGGCTTTTCAGCAAGCCACCTTGAGGCCCACCTGAGACCTTCAGAAAGGCATTTTCTGAACTGCTTGTCTGAACCTGGCAACTTCCTGCACCCCACCAGCTCCCTCTCACCTTGGTTTGGAACCGAGGAGGCACTCAAGCCTTATCTGCCCATGCAGCTTCTGTGTCCCTCTCTCTCCAGTCACTCTATTGTCTCCTCTGTCATCACTGACTCTCTATTGGCTCCTTCCCATCAGCATCAAAATATGTCCAAGTCGCTCTACTAGTAGGTGAAAAATAACAAGTACTACTTTTTAGTGCTGTGTTAAGTACTTTTACAGACATGATCTCATCCAATTTTCATGTGCTGCTTAAGAGGCAGATATTGCCAGCAACACCCCATTTTACAGATGCAGGAACTGAGGCTCAGAGAAGTGAAGTGGTCACAGCTAGCCAGTGAGCCAGGATGCTGGAACCAAGCTCTGACGACACACACTTCAGAGCTCTTTCCACCTTCATCCCCAATTCCTCTCCCTCATCCACTCTGTCTCCTCACTCAGCAGTGGGACTCACGGAAGACTATCTACACAGGTGCTTGCATCTTCTGGGAACCATTCCTCTGAGGTTACAGATGTGGAGGTTGCCAGATGCGCTGGGCCTGTCCCAGGGTAGCCTCCCAGGCTTTGGCCAGCACTCTTAGCTCTTCCTTCCGGAATCCCCTGCTTCCCTCTTGTCCCGCACTCCCACCCCCAGAGCCCCTCCAGGCCTCTCTCCGGCTGCTCCTTATCCATCTTGTTGACTCCGTTCACTTTCACCTGGAGCCTCTGCTGGTCCATCTGCTCGGCTCCACTCTTAGGGTCCGCGCACTGCAGTCCCCAGCCATGCACCCCATCTCCCTCACCTTTCCTCTGTGGGGCCCCAGTTCCCCTAGGAAGTCTCCTTGGGCCGAGGGGCTTGGGTATCTGGCTTGCGAACCCATCCATTGCGCCCTGCCTGCCCCGCAGGCCCGGGCTGCCCGGTTGGTTCCCAGATGCCCAGAGGCCTCTGTGGTCCCCAGCCCCGCCCGTGCGCCCCAGAGCACGCGGAGGTGACCGTCCTCAGCCCACAGCTAAGGTCCAGATGCGAGCACACTGAGACCAGAGCAGCCTGTGACTGCTCAGGATGAACGCGCCCCAGGGAGGCCCTGGCGCGCGTGGACAGGGCTGGGGAAGTGAGCCGGGCGGGCCCCGCAGCCGCGGAACCCCGCTTCCGAGCTCCGTGGGGCTGGAGCTTGGGGAGCCCCGCTGGTGCGATCGGGGGCTGGGGCGCGCGCAAGGCGGAGAGCCTGGGGCCTGGTGGCGAGGTGGGAGGGGTGCGGGGCAACCAACCTCGGTGCCGCCGCCTCCCCAAGGCCCGTCCGGGAGCTTCCGGTGGGGCGCAGAAGACGACACCTCCGGGCCGGCGGAAGCCACGAAAGGCAGGGCTGCGAGCCGAGTCCCAGCCGACCTGACTGGTTTCTGAGGCCGCCCCGAGGGCGGGGCGAGCACTCCCCGGATGGGGAAACTGAGGCCCTGTACTCCCACTAGCGGCTCACACGCATGCGGTCCCCGAACCCCTGGCCCGCGCCGTGTCCCGGTGCCCGCTGCCGCGACTGCACGCACCGAGCACACGGCACACACTCGCCCGGAACAAACCCGCGCACTCCCGGCGTTTGAACCCTCCCCGGCCCCCTGCCGGCCTGACCTCCAGCCGCTTGGTGACTGGAAAAGTAGTAATCCGAGTCTTACCCCGGTGGACTCCCCGCACGGAGCCCGCACATGCCAAGCTCGTCCACGCTGGTGGGTTGGTGCAATCAGTGAAGAGATGATGCTGACCGGTTCCAACGGAGCGTTTACAGCCCCGGGTACTTTAAGGGACCATTTCTGCTTTTGAAAGTCTAAACACAAGCAGGCACGCAAAGCCACTTATTGTCTATGAGTGTGTTTCTGTTACTCAAAAGAGTAATGGAATTTGGTGTTGGGGAATGATTTTCGTTTAAAAGATACAAACACCTTTTATTGTTGCGAGCCACTAATTTGGCAACATTTTTTTAAAAATCAGATTTAATAGCTGCAGGTCCAGCTGCTGAGGGAGGAGGGAGCTGGTCCACCTCCTCGGTTTCAGCTTTGCTGAGGCTTCTGTCCAACGATCTTTATGTATTAGGGTCCCTGTCTGTTTCTGTCTTGAGTCCCGACTGGACATTAAGAGCAGGGGCCTGGGGACTATCCTTTGCTTCCTTTGCTTTTTAACCTGGGATGTAGGGAAGTCTCTGGCACGCGGATGCTGCCGGAGAGTCTTGCAGGTGAAAGATCATGGAGGGCCCACCTAGAGGAGGGTGCTTGTTCGGGGACAACCAGGGGGACTTCAGGAGCCAAGAGACAACCCCCAGAATGTATGGGAGGTTGGCCAGCGGCAGCCTCTGTGAGGCCTTTCCATTCTAAGTGAAGTTTCTCAAGGGTTTGGGGTCTGTGAGAGCCACTCTGTCTCACCTCCACCTCCATACCACTCCCCCCTCTCCTCTGTCCTGGGCCATCGTGAGCAAAAGAGCAGGAACCTCCTGCTCTTCATGTGCCACATCCTGTTTTCAGAGTAGTGAGCTCATTTGCTGGAATTTTACCAAGGGAGAATAGTTTAATTTTGGAAAGTACCAAAAACTTATCTGTAGTCACTCGGTTTAATTTTTGACGGCTCTTGAAATAGAGGGGGCATCACCGAAGAACCTCCGAGTGCCCAGGGTACAGTGAAGCTGCAGAAATTGAAAGCTGAGCCCTGTGAGGTTGCACCTGATTTAAAATGGAAATAAAACCTTGTGGAGACCACTGATCTCTACCCAGTAGAACATTTTTTTCACTCTAAAAATAAATTTAAAAAGAGAAACAGCCCCTCTGTCCAAGTCTGAGCATGGGGCCAGGATTGAGGAACAAGACAGCAAATAGCAAAGTAGGTGATGTTTGAACCTCAGCCTTCTTTCACATCCCCATCTGTTCAGTGTGTGGTCAGAAGCACCTGAAAGCTTTCACTGTCCAGTTTTGCCGCAGTCCTGCAGTTGCCAGACCCTTGCTGTGGATGCGGCCTGCCTTACGGCACAGCCTGGAGTTCTGCAGCTCCTGCAAAGGAGCTCAGCAGGGACATTTCTGGAAAACCAGAGGTCTGTGAGCCGGTCTGCACCGAAGATGGGAGAGCCCAAGTGAATACCCCGAGGCTTGCCGCCTCCTGCCCTGCCCTGCTTGTAGAGTGAAGTTTAGAATCTGTGAGAAGATGCAGAATAGGAGAATGGTGAAAATGGATAAGGCCCTGACTGCTGAGTGCCGAGAGGAAAAGAACTGTGTCTCCCTTTCTTCCTTCCAGCCCTGAATGAACTCTGTATTGGTGTGGGAGTTAAGAAATTTGTATTCTGTTTTGTTTTCCCCAGACACGTATTCGTTGATTTTTTGGGTCGCGGGCATATAAATGTTTACCTAAGTAATAAATTAGGACCATTTATATATATATATATATATATATATATTTCTTTAAGAGCAAGATGACTTTAGCTGGGTGTGGTGGTGCACACCTAGAATCCCAGCACTTGGGGAGCTGAGGCCAGAGGAGGATCCCAGTGAGTTTGAGGCCAGCCTGAGCTACCCACGCCCATAGATAGCCTTAAAGATCAGAGCATGCGTTGGGATCTTCAAACTTCCCATTGCTGTAAGACCTTGTTTGCAAACACTCTCACATACAGAGCTCAAACACACAAGAAGAGAGGCCCTGTTAAGCAGAATAGGTGGCCCGGTGCCTGTGCACTGGACTTCTACCTTCCCCACCTTGATCGGGGGCTTTAGGTCCCCACAGAGCCACGCAGTTTGAAAGTCATAGACCCAATTTGACATTCTGTGTGGAAATTGGGATTTTTTTCTCTGGGGCTTGCTTGCTTCTGCTGTCCTGGCCCATTCGACTTTTTCTCAACACAGGTGCCCTTACTTGTGTTATAATTCAAAACCCTGGTGGCCAAAGGGGACAATACACTAGAGAAAGGAGACCTTACACTGTCCTGGGTCAACAGCCCTCCACTCTAGCCTACCCATCCAGAAGACCAGGGTTTGTGTGTGTGGTACAAATAATGACAAGAATAACGAGGCTGGGTGTAGTGGCGCATGCCTGTAATCCTAGAACTCTGGGAGGCTGGGGTAGGAGGATCACAGGTTTGAGCCTAGCCTAGGCAACTTAGAGATTTAGCAAGACCCTGTCTTAAAATAAAAAATTTTTCAAAGGGCTGAGGATGTGAAGGCCCTGAGTTTAATCCCCAGTACAAAAACAAAAACAAAAATACTACCTTTAATTTGGTGTCAGATGCTGCTCTGGGCACATTGCACACATTGTTCCATTTAGTCTTTATAACACCACCAAGAAGTGGTGAGAGAGTCATTTTCTCTCTTCTGGATGAGAAAACTAAGACTAAAAGAGTTAAGTAATTTGTTCAAAGTCAAGCACCCAGTAATTGACAGGACTGGGAAGGGCTGGGCATTCACTTCAGGATATGTGTGCGTGTGTGCGTGTGTACGTGTGTGCGTGTGTGCGTGCGTGTGTGTTTTCCACTTGTTGAGACCAAGCTGGGATCTCACCTGTTCTTTCCATCACTGGCAAGGCTTGGTTTGTTCTCTTGCTCTGGGCCTCAGTTTCCTCACTTGTCAGGTGACAGGGAGAAAGGTTTAGTACCCATAGAGGGGAGGAGGGGTCCAGGAGTTGGCCATGGCTGCTTTCATTGACTTTGCCCCACACCTATTTATTGGACATCTGCAATATATTAGGGCACAAGCATAGTTTATGGCTGTGAATGTAATGAACAAGTTTCTAGGGTCCTGACAGCTGCCTCGTAGAGCACAGTGATGTGGGTGGAAAAGTGGATGAATCCAATAGGCAAATGACAGCCATTTGAGCATCTCCCATTTGCCACCAGCCCTTACAATATGGACCCCAGGGTGGGTTATCACTCCATTTACTTAATAAGGCCAAATATTCTTCATTACGCCTGTCTGTTTTTTCTTATCGTTGCCAGCATCTTGCCATGTTCCTGTCACATTCATGGCTTGTGTTTAGTAAAACAATTAGTGACTAGCTTTCCTCTTTGTATCTTCTTAATCTCCTCTGAGCACTTCTGACTTACGAACCAGGAAATTTAATTACACAGATGATTACAGGCTATCAGCAACCTGCTAGATTAGAAGACCAGATGGTACTGGTTTCAACTCAAATACTCCCCATGGTACCTGACTTAACTAACATCAACAAAACAAAGAAAAACACCGAATGGTCTTATAAAAACAAGAACATATCACATGTATTTTTTGCTTAGGTGTAATGATTTAAAATGTCCTGAAGTTCTTTCTGTTAATCTCCACCTTGGTACACATTAAAATTACTATAGCTAGCAATTTAAGGAATGGATCTGCTTATAAATTTTTCATTTCTTCCCCAGTACAATATTTGAGCACATTAAATTATAAGAATACATGAAGTTCAGCGTATGAATACTTGATATTAAATGAAAACATGAAAGTAAAGGTATGTCTGGCTTCTTCACTGTTGTTTCCCCTGATTTAGCCCAATGCTACACACCTAGGGGTCATCAATAACTATGTGTTCCAAGAGTGATTAACATGCAGGACTCTAGCCATTAAATTTTTACCTTTGGTAACAATAGTTAAGGATGATTTCACCATCATTAGGAAACATTTACTGAGTTTACCTTTGACTTGCCCTCTTCTGGGTGTTGTGGTTAGAAATATTGTTTTAGTAAAAATTTGAAAAGAAATCTGGGATTGTGTGGTGAAGGGAGTTTCTGTCTGGTGATTTTCTCTATCTCAACAGATTTCCAGATTTAAGGGAATAAAGTGTCTCTGAAGTTCTTTGAATTATGAGCACCAGGCTGTCCCTGGAGTTTTTCCAATTGACTCCGAGACTCACCACTTTGAAGACAATGGGGATTTCAATTTATGAGAGGGTAGAGAGCCAAGGACACTCATGAGCCAGTGGTGTGGTCCAGGGGAAGACCTTGGCAGATGGCTCTTTTGATAAGGACAAGCTCTGAGATGCCCGTGATGAGGAAAGCTTTAATAATAATGGCTCACCTGCTCTTTCTCTCTGCCATCGCCACCAATCATGGTGCTATTCTAAGAGTCTGGTTTTGCTGTGTGTCAGTTTCCTCTTTTGGGGACTGTGGAAGCAAGGACTCCCCCAAGGTAGACACGACAGACTGGGCCTTTTGCTGGCTATGGAATTACTGCTCTTCCTTCGCTCTTAGCTTTGTGACATTTGGGCCCTTGATGTT